GGGGGGGGGGGGGGGAGAGAAAGGATCCATCTACCAAGAGCTACGATTGAAAAAAAGAAAGAAAAGCAAAAAAACCCCCAGCCATCCTGAAAACGCTGACTTTAGAGAAAGATGCCAGAAGGGGGTTAAAAAAAAACTAAAAAAAAAAAAGGTTCGCTTTCCAAATCTTTTCATTTCTTTCCAAGGCTTCCAAACCATCCCTTGAAATCTAAAACCTTCCAAAACTTTGCACAAATATGGTCATACATTTTTTTTTTTAAAAAAGCAGGCAACAAAATTGTGGCATGAGAAAAAAAAAATAGGCGTTCAAATATCAAAAACCAGAAGATCAAATGGTTGGTCCTTATTTGCTTTCCATGACTTGATGTACAATGAAACTAGGATTTCTAAAAAAAAAAGAAAAGAGAAAAAAAAAACCTTGGAAATATGATGCATGTAGTTTCACTATCAGTTCAGTTGTTTGACTAACAAAATAACCAGCCTCTTAAAACCTTCGGTAACTGATAGTATGTGTGTAAGAGACCCTTAAGTGCTTTCCATCTACGTTTATGTGTCCTAGATTTATTATGAACTGAATTGCAGCTTAATATTTCTGATAGATCAGTAGGCGAGCCTTATAAACTGCCATAATAACTGAGAATTTGGGAGCTGTAATCTTAAAACATACTGGAAAAGAGGGAAAAAACAGTAGTCCAAGGAAGCCCAAACTGTGTTAAAAAATGGTTGTGTCCATGAACTCTTGACTTTGGAGTTAGCCATACAGTAAATTAATTCAGCTCCCTGGATTAATGTCTGTATAGCTAAATAGGCTTCAATCAAACCAATATTATGGCTATAGACCAGCAGAGGTAGGGCTTCAATTAATCTCAACTGAGACTGAAATTAACACAATTAGTGTCTGCACAACCTGTTGGGTCCACTGTGGCCTCTGCTCACCTAAAAGGCTGTTTTGCCACCGTGATATGGCAAAATAGCCATATCACGGCTGGAAATAATGGCAGGATTGTCACAAACGTCTATGCTGGAATGGTCTTGTTTGTGCAGCCCACGTCATTCGATCCCTGAATTAACCCATGTTCCGGTTTGCAGAATGCATCGGCCCATGTTATCCAGAGCAGCAAGACCTTGCCAACATGCTAAGCCACTAAATGGACATGCGCACGTATGTTAAGCAAGGGACGTGCAAGGGAAGACAGCAAGCCATTACGTGCCTCATGATATCAGCATGCAAATGTTTGTGCCATGTCATGGCATCATGTCAGGAAGCACATGCCATTGTGATATCATTGTGGCTTGCTACAAACCCTTAATGCAACCAAGATTAAAACTAGGGATCTTTGATGCTCTCTGATTTTGGGTTTAATGGTCTTGTTTTCCACTAAATGGTCCATTCAAACAAGGCTTTATTGGTAAGCATAGTTCTGAGAGGTCCTTGGTGTTCTCTGATCTTGGTGGTTTTCTTGCAGATATTTCATGACCCAAACTTGGTGACAACATCTGCACTGATGATATTCCCTAGTTGGGTAGCGAAACGTCTGCAAGAAAGCAACCAAGCTCCGAGAACACCAAGGACCCCTCATTTCAACTCTGAGCTATAAATATTCTCCTTTAAGGTTAAAATGAACCTGATGTAGTATGTTGCATGGCTACAGCCACTCGGTTGAGAAGTAACTGGGTTTACTAAGCTATAGATGACAAATTAAGGTTGTTTTGGTGTGTGTGGAACAAACCAGCTATCTTTAGTTTACTTCACTGCAGTCCTAGGCCAGAACCCAACCATCTTCAGGAAAGCAGAACAATTTATGGTGACAGACCGTGGTACAAAAAATTATAAAGCTAAAAAGTTTTAGGTTTTTTCCAGATAGGTTTATAGTAATGGGATATCTAAACTGCTCTTTATTTATTCTTTTCTGTCTTTTTGTCATCCTCTGTAGCCAAGGGGGGCAATTGAGCTGACAGCAGTGAGCTTTAGCACAACCAACAAAACAATCCAGTTCCCCCTTCTTCTCCTGGCATTCCCCTAGAAGTCAAATTACCTGTATTGATTTATTGGCTAGCTTTTCATAACCCTTGATCAACAAAGAGAGATTTTTTTTCCTCTTTATTTAGGACCCTCCCCCCTCCATGGATACGAATAAAGCAAAATAAAAAGATAACATACATACACACCCACCCACCCAAATGAAACCTAAATTGTACAAGGAAGACTTCAAATGTGTGGACTTATCCTCCTGTCTCCAGGAAGATCAGAAATACTACTCCAGCCTGAACACCCTGCAGAGATACAGCTTATTTGGTTAGAGCCGATTCTGTTGTGCGAATCCAATCATTGTGGTTTAACGTGATGTGTGAATGTTGTCAACAGTGACTTATGCAAAAATCACGGTTAAGCAATTTGCGGAGTAGGTATTCCAGCAGGTTCAGGAGATCAAGGTGGCTGAAGGATCCAGAAACCAAACTCTTTTAAGAGGAATGGCTCAAATAATTACTCAGTGTGTTTACTGTGCCAATGAAAAGAGTGAGGAGAGCTATTATGGGGGCATTCGGATATCACAGGTTGTCACACAAGAGTGGACCACCTCAGTTGGCCCAGAAGAACCAGGCTAGTAGCCTTAGGAGGAATCGACAGGAAGTTCTCGATCAATGCAGCTTAATACCGACTCGGGAAGAAATTCCTGATTGTCCCAGCTAATGGCCAGTGGAACAGCCTGCCACACGAAGTGGTGAAGTCTCCTTCACTGCTTGTCCTGGGTGGATAATGATCTCTGAGCAGAAGGTTGGACTAGATGACCCATAAGAAATCTCAATGGGGTTTTGTGATAAACTCACCCTTTACAGATCCTTCTTACCCATCCTTCGCAATCCATTCGGCAAATTTAGCAAGGCTGTGCCCAGATGCCTTGGAAAGCCGGGTTAACTTGCACCAGGCTTTACCGATTAACCGACTTCTCACTGCACCAAGACCCCAAATGCGGACTGCAGCTCACGTTTCCTTAACTCCAGGCTCCCCTTGCGGGCTGCAACCCCTCCTTCCACCCAACCCAAATGCGGCAGCTGATGCAGAGAGCAGGGGCTTCCAAAAGGAAAAAAAAGACAACCCCCCCCTCCCCATTTCCTGCTCAAATAAACCCCAGACCAAAATAAAACCACCCGGAAAAAACACCCCCCCCACACCACAAACCCAGTTTTCAACAAAATCACTTTACTCATTTAATACACACCTTATCATGCGACCTATAGAAAGGGGAAAAAAACTTAAGATTGCATTATATTTTAAACTAAAAAATATATATCCAGAAACCCAGACAGGGATAGAATGAAAGAGAGAGAGAGGGGAAAGAAGGAGGGAGGGAGGAAGAGAGAGAGTGGAAAAGGAGGGAGAGAAGAAAGAAGGAAAGGAAATGAGAGGAAAGAAAAAGGGAGGAAGAAAGGAAAGAAAAAGGGAGGGAGGAAGAAAGGAAAGAAGGAGGGAGGAAGAGAGAAAAGGAAAGGAAATGAGAGGAAAGAAAAGGAGGGAGGAAGAAAGAAAGGAAAGAAGGAGGGAGGAAGAGAGAAAAGGAAAGGAAATGAGAGGAAAGAAAAAGGGAGGGAGGAAGAAAGGAAAGAAAAAGGGAGGGAGGAAGAAAGAAAGGAAAGAAGGAGG